TGCTGCTTGCCAAGGGGTCGGATGTACGCCCTGGCGTCGGCTGGGCAGGCGCTTGCTGGTTGCCAAGGGGTCGGATCACGCCCTGGCGTCGGCTGGGCACCGGCGCTTGATGTGCAGGTTTCGTGGCAGGCACAGCACTTTGTGAACCTTCATGTGCAGATTTCGTAACAGGCACAGTACTTTGTGAACCTCCGTGCGCAGATCTCGTGGCAGGCACAGCACTTTGTGAACCTCCCTGTGCAGATTTCGTGGCAGGCACAGCATCTGTGGAGCTGGAAGCTGAGAACTGGCGACTTTGTAGTGCAACTTTAGTACGCGGAGTATCTGCGGAGCTGGAAGATGAGAACTGGCGACTTTGTAGTGCAACTTTAGTACGCAGAGCACTCTGTGAAGCTGGAAGCTGAGAACTGGCGACGTTGTAGTACAACTTTAGTACGCGGAGCAATCTGGGGAGCTGGAAGCTGAGAACTGGCGACTTTGTAGTACAACTTTAGTACGCGGAGTATCTGGCGAGCTGGAAGCTGAGCACTGGCGACTTTGTAGTACAACTTTAGTACGTGGAGCAATCTGGGGAGCTGGAAGCTGAGAACTGGCGACTTTGTAGTACAACTTTAGTGCGCGGAGTATCTGTGGAGCTGGAAGCTGAGAACTGGCGACTTTGTAGTACAACTTTAGTACGCGGAGTATCTGGGGAGCTGGAAGATGAGAACTGGCAACTTTCTAGTACAACTTTAGTACAAGCCCCAAGCAGCATACATCCACCCACCCACTGATACACACTGACGAACAAGCGCATACACACAAACACACACACTTCGAACTTTTGGTTTTCAGTTAACGCAATTGTCTCAATGGGAAGGAAGGCGATGGAACGGCATGGTGAAGAGTCCGAAAGACTTGTAGGTGTTTTAACAAGGTGTTGGTCAAGTCTGCTGAGACGAGTGGCGCGCTGCGAGTCGGCTGCATAACTAGGCTGCAAAAAAACCCGCGAGGTTTGGAGGAGGAAACGTGAAGGACCATGGAA